AGTGCCGTGCACATTTTCAATTTACATGCGGAACAACTTACTCCCAGCTGCCGCGGGAAGAAAATTCTACTACATTTTGTTCACTTCTCACTTACTTCTAAAAATTTCCTTCTCTGCCTATCCTATTTTCCGAACCCCAAATCTCTATAACCACTGTTTTTGCAGGGCAAAATGCTGGGATTAGGGCTATATGAGTGGGCCTACATAGGCTACTTTTGCCTGGCCATTTGAAAACGCCACCCCTGGCGGATACAACTGGGGCGTCGATACGAGACACACCGTGGGGCAACGCAACGCACCAATCGCGAAGCACTAGAACTTGCTTCAAAATCACATAAAAGTGACTGCCATCTCTCATTGTCACACAGACACAGGGACTTTCCGGAGGCCTCGATGCAGTGAACACAAGCCCTGACTTTGCCAGCGACCACTACTGCCTGAGACAGCAACTCGGTGTTCTGTGCACAATAAATCCCTCCTTCTGGAAATTTTAGTCCGCTACATAATGTTGTGAGCCCATTCTAACCGACTGTCAGTATAACCTTGCAGGCTGTCCTGATGATTTTCTCCTTCAGCCGACAGCCAAACATGGTTCATTGTTCAATGGGAGCGGCCTCAAGGTCAGGTGTCTTCGCTAGAGGTGACCTTAAACCACTGGACCCAACATTCACTTGCACAAATACGTGTGCACACGCACGTGGGTCCGCGCGCGTGCCCATCTAGTCGCAGTTTTGGAGCCGGCCGGGTTCTTTTTTCAACTATCTTGAAAGCTATGATGATTGCACATCACAACTCCTCGGTCGTATACAACAGCGGAGGTGTTTCTCAAAAAGGCACATTAAATCAGAGAAAACAAAAAAGAACTTGATTGCAAATGAGTGCACGTACAAAGCTTCGTTGTTTTTTGCGAACATGGAGTAGAGCTCACTGAACTCCTCCAAACTGAAAGAACGCAGTATCTCAATAAGTTTGAGGAAATTTGCAGCTCCACTCCAATTGTCCGTCCGCAGCATGACCGCAATCAGCTCCACTGCCTCGTTGATTTCTCGGTATTCTCGTTTTGCCGTCGGTACCGGCGAAGGGGAGGGGGCGAAAGCTGTGCGCCGGAAGGTAATGCCCTTATCTGTCAAAAAAGATGCAAAATGCGCCAGGCGAGAGATACCCTGAGGACGTTTCGTGTTTCCTAGCAACTGCCTGGCTAACTTTCTAATCCCAAAGTCGTTTTTACTAACTCACAGACCTGGAATAACTACTGCTGCTTCTGATAGTGCATACAGTATGTCTATGAAATTGTGCAGCGGTCATGAGGGAAATCGTCTTGGTAGTTTAAGATACAGTTGGGCATGTTATTTTGACAAAATGAGGATATTTAATCCTGGGAAAGCCTTTTATTTAGGAAAATCGACCTTTTAGTTAAGTTTATTAAGAGCAATGGGCATTACTATCGACGAAATGGGACGTAGGCCGATACCGAAGGAATATCCTATGTTAGTAATTATGACAGGACCAAACTGTTTATTACTATGCATTGTTCTACGGGAGAAGTCCAAAACAAAAACAAACTACCCTCCAGCACCGGAAGATTTAGTCAAACGTTTCTTCAATGCAAGTGAAGCTAATTTTCAGGAATCGCATTTATTTCCAGCAACAAGGAAAAATTTTTAGTTTGAAAAAATATTTTTTGCTAAACTGTGAAGCTTTTGCGACGGAATGCAGTTTTAAAAAAATTTGAGGGCATGCAGTTTTAACCCATCAAGTGTTTAGGTCGTTAACAAAACTGGTCATATACTATCAGGAATTTTTATGTAAAACCAACTCTTATAAAATCTAAATTATTTAGAAATTTACCCATTTTTACACTATAATTTCGGCTTCCGCGTAATTTAAAAATGGAAAAGACAGAAGAATAATAATTATGTCAAAATCTTGCTATGTATATGGCAAATACTTTTGCGTTTGCAAGACTATAACACAGACCGGAAGCTTACCAAAATGGTGAAAATACTCCAATATAAAGAAAAATGTGAGTTCTAACATTAACAGTCAAGTTGAATTAGTTATGTATTTACCGACAAACGGAGAGCATACTCACGAAGCTTTTCTGGCTTTTTGGGCGTCATCAGGTGGTGGTAGCTCAACTCTGGTGTAACAGCGGAAAACGTCGCCACACTCGAGTTTTGAACTCACGTCTCTCCAGCCAGAGACGAACGCTCTAACCCTTGAGCCACGGGTCCGCCGTGGTGTTGGTTTGTGATCGGGACCATATGTTAGTGGTGAATTATTTATCTTCAGGTGAATTTTAAAAAACCTGTTTAAAATTTCCATTCGCCTTTTGATATTGCCTTGGAAGAAGATAACCTGCACAGAAATTCGTCGGCTCAACGCATAATTAAAATTGTTTTCAAAGATTTAACTTATTATAGGGCGTCTTTTTTTACTAAACTTAGGAATAACAATATCAGACGTTGCGGACGTTCTCTTTGCTCAACAATGTGTTTTGCTCCTTGTATGAATTTCTAAATATGGCCCATATGGTCAGTGTTATAAGGACTATTATCTAAAACTCATTATTTGGTAAATGCTTTTAACAGCAATATTATTTTAAAGGTTTCGATATTATCATTGAACAGAATCTACGCTTATGAAATGAAGCTTGAAAACGCTGAAGATTGTCAAAAGTTTGTCGGACTTTAAAGGTCAATGTGTTCAAAACATTTTAATTATGGAAAAGATCTTTTTTATATTTTGAAAGTGGTGGGGTAATTCGTTCAACTTAAGGCAAGATTTAAATTTGTTTTTCTACTTTATAACTATTTTTTACGTCTACAAAAATTAGGAATTATTAAGAAAATTTCATTTTTCTTAACAAACAGTTAGTACTTCGGTGTTGAGAGTTTGGCAAATTTAAATAATTCGATTGACCCAATTGTGAAAAGTTCGCGGCCTCAGTGGAAGTTGAACCCAAACAACAGAGAGGGCTTCTGCGTAGCCATCGCTCTACCATTTGAGCTACGAGGCTCCCCGTGCGACGTGAATTTAATCCCGCTCGGGTGCAGACCTACGCTTGTCCGACAGTCAACTTTCCCCAATCGATTCTCCACATCATCTGCATAAAATAAACTTTTCCTTCTATCTGGCGTTTCATTTCTTCTCTTCCTGAAAATCACTACGATAGACTAAATGCAGTGAAAATGTGAAAACTACTTGGAAGAAATCTTACCCGGTGTCAGTGGGCCCGAATTGGTAGTCGAAAGGCGCACCAACTTGCTGGCCATCGAGAGTCTGTTCAGTTGGCTGGATCCGGCACCAAAACCACCATCAATCGTTAACCTCTCAGAGCATTCCACCGACGAAAGGAAACCGTCCGCATCAGGCGTAAGATCACAGGTCTGAACTCCACTGACCGTCCTCGACTCAATTAATGCCTTGGCAATTCGAAAAAACACACAAGAAAATACAAGACTCGCTGTGTTTCTGAGAAAACTACCGTTATTGCAACGCAAAGGAAGTTCTCACTGGCTCTTCTGTTTTATTGCAAAATTTTCAACAACTACTACACGGGCAATATTTTAGACGCAGTGCCCTACCGCGAGAAGCGAAAATTCGCGTCACATGAAACAACAGAAGTCAAAAACTTGTAGCGGCCAAAGACGTTGAGGTTGGCACACACACGAGCGGAGAAGAGACCTGAAGACTTTTCAGTCAGTGGGAGCTCTGAACGGGGCCGATAATCGCCATACTATGTATGCAAATATAAATTCCCACAATAAAAGGATGTCTGGAAACAAATTTACTAGTAATAAACTTATACCTACATGAAAAGTAATTAATATATCCAGTTGACCCAATTGTGGAAAAATTCGCGGCCTCGGTGGAGGTCGAACCCACACGGCAGGAGAGGCTTTTGCACAGCCAACGCTCTAACATTGAGCTACGAGGCTCAATATGAGCCGCGAGTATAATCACACTTTGGTCGATTTACACGCCCAACCTACTGCTCGTATTGAATCCATCATTACGGATTCAGTAAACTGACTGCTCAGGCTGGTGAATTCATTGCGAGCGGTAGGTTGGGCGGGAAAATCGACCAAAGTGTCGTTAAATTCACAGCTCATGGTGAACCTCGTAGATCAATGGTAGAGGGTTGGTTGCACAAAAGCCTGCCCTGCTGTGTGTGTTCGACCTCCACCAAGACAGCGAATTTTTTTCACAATGAGGTCAACTGAATTACTCAAATCAGCGAAAGCCTCCTAAAACCTAATATATAACAGGCAAAGAACATTTTATTTGGGTCTATTTTGGGGTGGGGTGTTCTTTCGTATCCGTCGGATTACCGGAAGGGGTGCAGCGCTCTGGGCAGCTGCAGGGACGGGACGTCAGAATGCTGACAAAGAGCAAGGGAAAACAATACGACTGTGGCAACGTCTTTTTGTGGGATTGGGAGTCATCGGTTTTGAAGGCAAATGGGCGCCTGCATCTTCGCTGACACTTAATCACAATACTCCCATCCTGAGCTCGCGCCGATGTGTTGTGCACTTAAACAATCCATTCAGGCTCTTGGTCTGTTAAACCCTGACCAACAATGTTCTCCTGAAGCCAACAATCAGAAGTGTCCTTCAGTTGGTCTGCTTTTGCAAAATTAACTTGGATTGGACCAGGGTTCATGCCGGAAAATCTCCTCAGCTTACCAGAAATTCACAGGCCTTTTATTATTGTCCTGCTTCTGATGCTAAACTATTGCACCGGACATATATACTCTCCTGCACGCGTTTTTTTTACTTTACTAACCAAAATCGAGGTGGGTTAGGACAAGAAGCTTACCTTGAACAAGCTTGGATCCGCGGAGTTCGGTGTGAGCTCGCTTGCATACCTTCTAGAGCATTCTGAGACAGATTTTGTTCTTCGAACCAGGACTCTGCCTTCTGCATCTTGGATGGGCTCGTAATTAGTAACACATCGGCCGGAGATATCATCCTGCAAGAAACCATACGGTCTGTTAAACTACTGGACAAATAAAATAGGTTTTCGGCAACAATAGAGTTGGTCTGCCACCCTAGATACGCCTAGCCCCTGAATAGCATGATTAACTCACCTCCAATTTCGTGATGGGCACTTTTTCGGAGTCCTTGACCCATTGCAGATGTGAAAGAATAGCCAATTTGATATTCAGAGCAAAGGCCTCCTCATCTGTCACGGGACAAACATCACTGATGAGACCCGAGGCAGACTTTCCGAAACGTAGCGGGTTTTGCGACAGCTTTAGCTCCAATTTCGTTTGACGAACGCTTTGTTCGCCATCACGCATTTGGCTAAAGTCCACGTCCGCCAGCTGAAAAATGAACATAGATTTATAAGATTTATAATTCGTCCTTGGGGTCATTGATGTCTCCCATACATCTTGTTTTGACGAGAATAACTAGGTACTCGTTTAGATGAATGCAGAGCTCAGGCTTTAGTCGAAAAGAAAAGGAAGGTTAAATTCGATTCGCTTTGATCTTAAAGTGCACTGTCAGTAAGTTTACACCAGCTGGATCATTAAACATACGTCTATACGTGATAACTGAAGATTCGGTTGTTCCGAGACTTCGGTGAGTGATAATGGCGGACAGCTCACACCAGCCGCCTTCACCTAATTCTGCAAGCAGCCAGGCATTAATCAATTGTCTTCGCCACCATGTGACCAGCAGTCCAACGGAAAGGTTTAGCGATCCGTCAACATCTTCAAACGAACTCTCCAGGAGTCACAATGGAAGGGAACGACGAAAGAAGCTCTTGAACTGCTCCTGCAGAACTATCAAGCCACCTCAAAGCCTAACGCTACAAATGTTGTCTGTCCTGCAGAAGTTTTCATGCAAAGAAATCTTCGCACACCATTTGACGTAATTTGACCGTTGTCATCTGTCGGTGCTTGGGATGAAGCAGACCATCCGACGTCAATGAAATGAAAATTCAACCGACGCCACGGAGCTAAGCAACGATTGTTCGATCTGGGCGACATGGTACTGATGAAGGATTATAGGACCAACTAGGAGAAGTGGACGCTTGGACATGTTCACCGAAAGTGTGATGACGTAGTCATCAAGATTCAGGTCGGCTCAGACATTTGGGTGCGCCCCGCCAATCAGCCGAAATACACCGAATGTACTGATGTGACGAATGCAAGCCCAAACTTATCCCCGGAACTGCTACTTGACACTTTCGATTTGCCAAAACCAAAGCAAGAGCCCACAGTTGCAGAGTCACGTCAATCGCCTCAACCCCATAGACGATCAGGCCGAAAAGAACGCAAACGGTTCCGTTGCAGGTGAACCCGCATCTCAAATCCTACAATTCATCTCAAACGGGGGAAGTGTTAGGAGTCTTCCTGGCGAGCACTCAGGTCACATTATCGGTCCGCCAACACACAAAGGCCGCAGACGTGCCGCGCACGTGCGCCGAGTTCACGCGAGGCGGCCAGGAAAGAGATGAACCAGATGGTCAAGCGAGTCGCTAGCCGCACGAGGACAAATCTGATTGGTCCCATTTTATAACACTATCCACTCTATGTTATCATGTACTTACTCGAGTTAACTTGAACTTATTTTGCATTCTGGGTCCTATACTTTTAACTAGCGCGTTTTGGCTGTGTCAATCTTTCTATATTTTAGTTTCGGGGCCCTGTTCATTTCAAAATAGTCAAGATAGCAGAAACATGTGTTTCTTGGACACTCGCCTGCACCTCTTAAGATGTAGGGTTTATTCGTTAAAACAAACTTTATTTGTCAGGACGCACTGTGAAGTAGTTCACCTTTTATTACAGGGACGGCTGACCGGTCGAGTTTACGATGGATACTCTTCTCGCCAAACTATCACAACAAATCCTACCAGCTTCGCCGGCGAATAAATATTGTTTTAGACTTATGATGTTAGCTTCGGTTTTATTTTTTTAGTTTAAGTACGCGATTACCACAATTGTCTGACGCAGTATACAAACCAAATTTTCGGACTGTTTTCGGCACATCGACATGAAAAGAAAGAAGATCTTCGGAAAATCGAGTTGTACTCGTGAATTTTCGAACAAGTATCACGTGCTGGTCGCCAGACAAACGGAAAACGAGGGCTGGGAATGTCGCACTAGAGGTTTTGGGGGCAGAGGTTACAATGGACGGAGTGGGATTAGGCGGAAGGGTTACGGTGACGTGCCTCCTGCGGCGATAATTTGTGTTGATGAGGGGAGGGAGGTGTTAACCTTTGGATTGTGGGCCACATGTTCGCTGGAGGGGGGGTTCAGAGTCAGTGAAATTCTACTTGATCGAGCACGGACAGCCTCCTGGTGTTTCAGACTGGGCGCAGGTTAGTCGAGCATGCGCGAAAACCGGCATAGTATGAATCAAGCTCTACGTGTCTGTTAATACTAGCCGGGCTCGAGTGCCAAACTTCGATGAATTCACTCGCTTGCCTCGTATTAGCCGTGATAATCACCTCAGTGCCATTTCAATTGAATCGGAGATCACACTCAAGGGAATGCGCACATACGAATGATAAAGGGTCCCATCGGCGAACGGCTAACTTATGTTCCATGATCCGAATCTCAAGACGTCGGCCTATTTGGCTACTATAAAAAGAAGGGCAACCGACACACGGTATGCGGTAAATGACGTTACTTAGTTGTTCTACGAGTAGGGGGTCCTTTACTCGACATAGGCTTGCGCGCAGTAAGGATCCGGGCTTGTGGACGACGTGGATGCCGAAACGACATAGTTGCCGAGAGATGGTTTCAATACAAGTGAACATCCGTACCCCAGGAAGTAATTGAGAAGAAGAAGAAGAAGAAGAAGAAGAAGAAGAAGAA